TTCTACTTCCCATAGTGGAAAAGTTACCAAAATATACCAACTAGGAGAAGGATATGGAGATGGAGGAGGAGGAGGAGGAGGAGGAGGAGGACTCCTGGATTCCTGCCCTGGATAGGTTGTTGCACTAAGGGATATCCAAGGTCCTTTCCAACCCTTGCATTCTATGACTCTATGAAGTAAGTCCTCTGTGGCATTTGTTGTAATGTGGTCAATAACATTGTGCAAACAGACAGTGTACCATATTCAGATGTGTAGTCCACATTATTTAACCTCATGAACTCTGTCCTGAGCAGCTTAAAGCAATTGTCTTCTACCAGGCAAGTATTCTTGCCAATTTCACCCCAAGGTAGGAGGTGAAAGATATAAAATGTTTTTAAAATAAAATCTGTGAAACCTGTGTACCCTGTGTTACTAGGGTACACAAGTAACACAAAAACACAGAATTGTTGCAATGCACTTAGGTATTCACTTTTCTGCCTGGCCATCTATTGATTTTTTAAAAATCTGTCATAAGCATATCAAAATTGTGTTTTTGCCTTTCACATCTGCTCAACAATAGCAAGGAAGAGGCTCAGAAACACAATAAATAACATGCATGAAATCGGTTTGAGGACTTTTCTACACTCTAGCCTTCAACTGCTTGTCACCTGGGTATGAACTAGCTAGAAACAAAGCAGCTTAAGGAATCTTTTTCCAGATTTCAGCCCCTTCCTCTGCTTTAGCCTGATGTTCTATCTGGACCTCATTTGCCATAGCCCCCAATTGGTGGAGTCCACTGCTGCTTTATCCCTTCTGGACTTGCTTAAAAGAAAAAAAGAAGAAACCATCATAGTTGTACCATGTTTCCTGTCACTTGGGTTAGGAGAGGGGCATCCACAAGGGGCGGGGGGGTGTCAACGAAGTCAAGATGGTGGCTATGGCCATGTGATAAAAGCCCTCCCTCTTCTTTATGAGTTGCATGCACAACTCCTGCAAAACAAAGGCTCGGGGCTTTGACTGTCAGTTGCATCTGCTGCCTTGCCCAAGATGCCACAGGCTAGAAGTGAGAAATCAGTTTAACCTTAAGGAGGGAAGATCATTTCCCTGTTCTATCGGGGAGCTGGAAAAATAAATAATCACCCTCCGGGGGAGATGGGCAACACACTGAATGAATGAATGAATGAACAAACAAATGAACGAATGAACGAACGAACGAACGAATGAACGAATGGCCGGCCATGGAGAACAGCAAGCAATGACCACTCCTTGCCAAAGAGCACAGCAACCAGCAGGAGTGGAGGGATTTGCCTATAATGAAATGAAGTGCACCAAG